ATGTGGTAAATTATTATTATTATTATTATTATTATTATTATTATTATTATTATTATTACATTCTATCACCTGTTTGCTGTGTTCTTCCTCCTCCTCCTCCTCCATTAATCTTCCGTTCGTCGGCAGGGTTGCGCTGACAGCGTGGAGCGTTGGATCCTCACCAACATCGGGGTCGTCCTCGGTATCTGTCTCGGAGTGGCTGTGGTTGAGGTACAGCAGCACTCTACTATATCTTTACATAGCATATACATATTTTTTTTATTTACTAAATATTTTGAATATTTGAATATTTTTAAGATGTGAAATATTTTGTGGGTTTAAAATGATTTTAATATTAAAATGTTTTATTTTATAAAAATGAATTATTTTACATCTTAAATTATTAATATGATATAAATAGTTTTGTAGATTCAATATGATTTTAAGATTAAAAAAATATTATTTGTTGTTGTTTTATTTTATAAAAATATTTTTTATTTTATGAAATATTATAAAAATACATTCTTTTATATTTTAAATCATTTTGTAGATTTAATATAATTTTAAGATATAATATAGATAATGTAAATGATTTTAGGATATCATATAGATAATATAAATCTTCTGTGTTATGTCGACAGCTGCTGGGGATGATTCTGTCGATCTGTCTGTGTAAGAACATCCATACGGAGGATTACACCAAAGTGCCGAAGTACTGAAGCCGATTGGAGGAAGTTAAACCGAAACAACGAGAGGGAAAACATAAAATAATGCATTTATTTTCTCCACCTTATATCTGGTGAAACATTTTGTCCAAATGTAAAATAATGTGTGTTTGCTTTATATTATATTAGATTTTTCTTCTGTTTTTTTTTAAAGTTTTTTTTGTGAGTCCGGTTTCTTTTGAGCACTTTAGAGACTTTAGAGTGAAATAATTGATGAGGATAAATTAAAGGTCGGCGCTCTCAGGCTTCAGATTCCCTTTAAAGAGAAATCCTGTTTATTGTCTGAGTTTGAGAGATTCTGGGCGACAGCTGATTCGGAACAACTGGAAACAAAAAGTTAGTTTTTATTTTTCTACGCCAGCGTTTTTGAGTTATTGTGAAATGTTTTTAGTACTTTTGTATATAATTTTAGTCTTTTTATTTGTGTGAATTTGAATCCCAAAAAGTACTGCCAGCTGGTCTCTCCTTTGGATTAAGTTTGTTTTATGTTGTTCCATAATAATAATAATCTGATACTAAAGAAGAAACAGGATATTGAACAGTATCACTCCCAGTTTACAATTGTCTGTGACGACAAGCAGAAATGTTTTTAAAGTTTAGCTTTAAGTTGGTTTATAAAAGCCCGTATTCTACCCACGTTAACATAAAACGAGTGTTTGAGGAGTGAAATGTTTCTTTTAACCACTTTTTTTTAAATATATGTGAACTTTAAAAATACAGCAAGAGAAATATTTTCCATCTTGAAACTTTTGAAATTTGTTTATACAGAAAAAGAAAATCATTTTTAAATTGATTTATGTACAATTTAAACTTTCAGCCAAGATGTTGTTTTTATAATGTACAAATCCTCCTTCCTGTTGTGTTTCCATGTACAGTCTATGAAAAACATTCCATTAACCTTTGTAATAGTTTCTAAGACAAAGAGGGTACGTATGTTTATAACTAGATGGACTTCTGGTAGCTAGCTGGATTAGTAAGTGTGTACTCACACCATTCATTATATTTCATTTTGCCAATAAACTGATTACAGTTGTTTGTTTGTTTGTTTTATATCCATTACTGGAGCAGATACTTCCTGTAGCTGCAGCCTTAAAGGTTATCTACACAATTACACCAGAGGGTCGAACCAGAGCTTCTTAGACCAAAATAATGAGACAGAAACAGAATAAAACTCATTAAAACCGACTTTGTTAGTGTTTCCAATAATCACTAGTTCTGGTTTGGTG